AATTCCATCGAAGTAACTAGAACTTGTCTAGAGGGATACCAGCCGAAGCTAGGATCAGACTCTACCTCAATACCATGAATCTATCCATGACATAGCAGTAGCCATATAGTCTTAGAGCCAGAGGTTGGCAGGATAATATCTCCACCTCAGTCAGTCCATGACACCAGAAAGCTCTGAGAGCGACATCCAATGAGGAAGGAAGGTAGCAAGAGGTTGGTTCTTTTGAAAATACCCTTCAATTCTCTTTGTTTGGTGGCACTCTTGTCTACATCACCAAAAGTCTATTTAAGGAGGCTAATAATGTCATCAACAGATTAGTAAATTATCTTACTGTCAGATTTAAATCCACTATCAACTGTTTTTTTACGATCTAGCCTTCGGGGAAATATGACACAACGTAGAACATTCGTAATCTTTCTGTGTCCCACCAATTGGCGTTGGCTTCGAGCTTTCTGCGCAAGTCACAAATGAAAGGGGCTAGTAGTTTATTGTCGGCACCAGAGACTTTTGGATACATGTAAGGGCTAGATAGTTCTCTTCTTTTGCTTGTTGAGATCATAAGCTCAGATAGATTGAGAGCCAATATCAGTTTTTGTGCACCTTTCATCTCCGCTTCATGTTGCGTGGATAGATTGTTGTGTACATGTTCGGATTAGGTCTGTAACAGCTAAGAAGCCGGTATTTTCCTGTAGCCAGTAATGGCAAGTACTGGCGTATAACCACCAGGGGGTGGGCCGGCGCAATAGCCTGCAGAACATACCAGAACCACTGTCGAAGGTACTAGATAAGATTCGACATGAACAAGACTGTAACTGAGACTTGGAGAAGCTACTAGAAACCATATTCTCAGAGTTGCAACTGGAATTATCTAGAAATAAACTGACCTTAGATGGAAGGGCTTGGAGTGTAGTAATCTGTATAAATACCTGGCTAAGTATCTGTAGCTTAGTTCTACATAGTTGAATTGTTAATATACCATCATCCATACAAATGCTCCATGCTTTCTTTAGTTGATCTGTGACAAGGTCCTGGTCAACAATGTCTAGCCTAATTGTGCTATGTTGCAGGCTACTGTTCCAATTATTCATGGGGTCATCATCAGGGTTGTGAGTAGTTTCGGTTTTGGTGTGGGTTTTTAGATTGATACCTAAGCGTGTCGCATAGTAGTCAGACATGCGACTCGAGTAGCATATGCACGGTAGACCTCAAACCCAAAATGATGATACAAATCAGGCTTTACATGCTACGTCCTGTATGGCTAGCGTGGTTGGAATATGGGAAATTTACCTGTAGATAGATAAAGACGTTGTAGCCCTCTGATAGTTGGGACAAGTCTTCTACAATATTATATCGGAATCAAATCTAGCCACTCATTAAGCAATCTCATGAATTATTTCCAATGTCTGTGATAACAGACATACATATACAATATCAACAACAACTTTAATGTTGATAAGTTATGAGCCCGGAAACTGTCGACGATCAACTTTAATGTTGATAAGTACAAATTGAAGGTCATTGAAATTAGATTTGAGTGTGTCAATTTTTTCCTTGGTTTTCTTGTCAATTATTTCGAGGTCTCTGTGACATGGAATGAGATTTCCTACAATGTAAAAAGCTTGCTGGAGTTCGAGTGTGGCAATAGTAGGGTTGGCTTGGATATATTTTAAAATAGGAGCGGTATCAGAGGCAGAGATTACTTCAGGGCCAATGTTCCTGAATTGATTGCCGCAGAGGTTGCTAGCAAAACTAAAAGATTCGGGTGTGGGCTCAACCCGTCTGTAGGATGCGAAATTAGGTATAGGAATGAGTTGGGAGTTTAAATTGTCCATGAATTAGGGAAAGATGCGTTAACAAGTAAATTCAGCTAGGTGGTGATCAATATGTCACGAAATAAGATGATGTCCTTATTAATAGATAGATTGATCACAAAGCTACAAGAAGTCCAAGAGGACCATTCTACTTATTGTACCTCGCTTATTTGTTTATGCTAACCACCTTAGTCAGCGAGGGTTAAATGTGACACCATCACCCACTACAAATTTATGATGCTCCGTATACCCGCAAGGAGAAAATTAAGTCATGATATACAAAGTTGGTATCTTGGTTTGTGGGTGACTGATGCTTTAATGGGACATACAACTTGAGGGAGAACAGGTCTCTGAAAAGCATGCTGGGACTAATATTTTCGAGGGCTTTTTTTGTCAATGAGTCAACAGCACTACCAATAGCCCTGAATGATACAGAAGAAGTTAGGCTAAGCTACCATACAGCAATCACTTTCTATGGAGACTTTTCTAACATTTTAGCACGACCTTTAGGTAAGCATTGGAAGGAGGCTAGAAAGGCAAAGGGTGAATTTCCCGAAGTACACACAAGTCTGCAGCGCCCAGCTGGCTGACCTTTTCGAAAGCATCAGTAGGTCACTATGTCTTCGGATTTAGTCCTAATGTTGGTATTTGGAGAGCCTCACACCCAGTGGCTTTTGCGAATTTCGCCGACCGCCATACACCCGCAAATGGCCATTGTCTTGTAGGCTGGAGAGGGAATGTCAACCTAATATGACCTGCATCCAAAGCGACATGAAACCAACAAGAAAGTACATATAACCCTGCGAGCTAAGCGCGCCAAGATCTCACGTGAGACATACTGAGCTCTAAATGTTTTACCCGATGTTATCTGTGAAAATATTCTGTGACTGTTTGTATTCATTTAATCATGTACGAGTCGTAATTCTGTAACTATCTATAATCATGTTATCTACAATTCGTAACCTTGTACTGGTATTAGTAGCTCCTGACAGTTGCTGTTTGCAATATTGGAGCTAATCATGTTCTTACTTCATACTTAGGACTATTTGACATATTAAGCTTGTACAAATGTATATGGAGATTATATGTTCTGTACGTGGGTGATCAGATGAAGGACAGAAGGACTTGTATTTAAAGAGAGATGGAATATTTCATAAAAATCAATCAATCACATTTCTTCACTCTGAGATAAACTCCTTAGTCTCAATTTATCAACAGGGGAGATAATGCAGGGCAAAGGGCTCCTGTAAGTGTGTGATCGAATGAGGACTTATGAGGAGTGGTACTGTTTGAGGGGAGCTGTATGGGAGTCATAGGAGGGGGTATACTACTGGTATAGGTATTTTTGGCCTGTAGGCAGAGAGAACCTACATGTCCTACACAATTATAGACTTAGACAGGACAATAAAGAGAATTAATAATATTTTGTTTGTTTTGATTTGATTTGATTTCATTTAGCCCGATTTGGCGCCCTATGGACCCCTTTTTGTTGCATCAGATTTTAATTGCGTATGCAGCTATCTAGCTATGACACAATATCAAATAAGAGTACAGAATAGGTGATTCAACGTAAAGGAAGAGCACTCATACCTTGGATTTCATGCCCTATGGGCCCATGCAGGTGTCTACGAACTTTATATTTACATAGGAGGAAACCTTACAGTAAGAATCCCCTTGGCTGTCTGATTGGACTCTACGCTATTATAGTCTTACCTTAAGGAAGTGCGCTCACACTGTTGTTGCCGGTGTGGATTCCGTCCTTGTCCTGTGTTTCCATTTTCCTCTCTTCGCCTGATTAACGCCTCGATCTCCCCGGTCATCCGAAACTGCACTAGTCATCCTTCCTTTTGAATCCACTGTACATTTCTAGTCATATCTTTGACTTTATTTACCATAGCTTCGAAAGATCGGGTTGTCGATTTTCGTAGCAACTCACCTCTCCCCTTTGCCCATGTTGGACAAGACATCACCATGTACTTTATATTTTGGGACAGATATCCACATTGGCAGCATAGTTTTCCTACCACTGACACATTCCTTTTGTAAAAGGAAGCATTGAGCCTAATGTGCTCGCTTCTTACTTGTGTGGAAATGCTGCTCTGGGCCCTGAAAATGAATGTATTATTACTTGATGTACATGTATACCCAGCATGAAGTAGTACTCTTCTTCATGCAACGTCTTCTGCTTACACTAGTAACTTGAACCCACATACTTATGTCTTCTCTAAGAAGACAGCTGTTCTTATGCCAACCTCATTTATTACTCAATTTAGCTTTAACCCTTCCGTGAATACAATACCTAACGCTACCTATATAATTCTTCCCCATATGAATTATCACCACTCTCCACATGTCTAACAACTCTTTTTTTCAATTCATATTGTATTCAGCTATTGAGCTATGACAATTTGTCTAACAACTCGTACCCTACGGAACACCGATCATACAACTCTTTGAGACCCAGTCTGCACTAAGACACAGAGATATATATAGGACCTGACCATCTGATGGCGGCAGTCTCAAGCTCCCTTCACCTGTTGTGGATTGGGAATGCCATTTCCCATTAAGACCCTCAAGAAACTTCGGCTCGCTCGTCGCTCATTTGGGTGTTTAATTCAATGCCGGACTGGGTACGGTAACTTTCGTGCTTATCATGAAAGGTTTTAACATGAAGGTGTATTCATTACCTGTTCATTTGGGGGAGACAAATCAATCACTCACTTGGCTTGTTGCCCATTCGTTTGAGAGAGGCTGGCCTCTGCCGGTCTCCGACAAAGTCTGGAATCTCTCAATGTTCTTCTCAGCACCTCCCGTCGAGCTGAACGCTTCGCATCTTTACTGGATAAGGATAAATTTCTATCTGAAATCTGCCCTACCCGGAACGTGTGATCTAATAAGTGGAGGAGTACATTGCATAGCGCTCACAATATCATAAGGGAAATTATTATTCAAAGCCTCTCTGCATCCAATTGTAAAAAATGTATTTTTTTGCAGCAGTTACCATTTCCCCCTGGGATAGAGCAATTGCCTTTACTCTCCCCGGTTGACCTTTAGATAAACTAATAATTAAATTGCTATGAATATTGCACCTTGTATCTTCGCACGAATATAAATGATGAAGTAGAATGTATTTAATTGAAAATTAATATAATGTAACTTACGCTCAGCCTTAAGTAGATCTATGAAACATTAAATTTCCTTGCACCACTTGGACATGATTCCACCCAGACTTTCCACGCTACCAGCTATTTCTTCGAGGCCGACATCTACTCTCCACATCTGTTCACTTGCTCCTAAATACTTTCCTTGATTACCCCCATATCCAGCTGGTACAAGTAGTTCGTAGTCCGCTAACTTCTCCCATGCGCTAATAGAGATGTCTCGCCCCCAAATTTTGAAGCTAGAGCCAATCGCGACTACTCCACTACTCGATGCCATTATCTTGTGTCGTGAGGCTAATGAAATATATTCGTCGTAGGCCATGGCGAAGTTACAAGTGTCTGTGTCCAAAATTATGTCAAGGCGCGCAGCACAAATTAATAACGCTAGTTCCAACTCGGATAATCCTTGGAGTATTTGTAACTTGGAATCCGGCTCTGAGAGGGGCATGAGAATTGATACAAAGCTTTCACCCCGGAGAATGGGGTTCCTGGATGAGAGGTTGGCGATAGGAAGGATGCACGAATTGAAAAATGTTGACACCGACTTAGTTTGATAGTATATAGCCTGAATGTGTTGAATGAAGGCCTCATCTTTGAAGTAGAGATTCTAGGCAAAACTAGTCAATAAAATTTACCTCACAAGATGACCTATACTTACTTGTATCATATTTTTCCAGTAAGATTTAAATTCCTGAGAGCCAGCAGCATGGTCGAGCAACGAAGTGTTTTTCTCCATAGTTTCAGAAACCATTAAGCCTTCTTTACAGATTTCCCAGAATGCTGAGAGGCTTCGAGGTAGAGAAAGATAGACAAATCGATGGCTGAATCGACTTTTCACCCGCTTCTCAAGATTTTCCGCGACATCAACTTTGGTCGTGAGCCCAAGAATTGCGATTGGTGCCTTCCTAGCCTGGGCAATATCAAATAGGTTGTAGAGCAATATTTGACGGTAGTGAGATGTAAATAAATCAAACTCATCCATGACGAATATTACAGACGTAGCGGTTTGATTAGAATCTGTACCGGAGATCTCGGATGGATGTGATAGAAGAGCTAGCAGTGATGCAAATATATCTGCATGATTACTAGGCTACCACAGTAAGCATGATTATTAGGTTAAAGAAGACTGAACTGACCCTTCCTGTAGGCTCGTCGAAGACATCCATTTCCCGCCCCAATTGCCTCCAAATCTCTTTTAGGGCTATTTTATCATCAGTATGAATAAGTCCATTTAGTCTGACAACGTGGAAGTTCTTTCGGTGGAGCTTTGATACTTCTGATATCACTGACTCTACAAGCTATCCTACGGTTAGTTAATATTTTTCTTAATTTTGAGCACGTACGGCTGTCTTTCCAGTTCCTCTAGCGCCTACTATCAACATTGAATTTCCCTCCCCAGCCAGAATCGTGTTTTCAATAATTTGGCGAACTTTAAGAATTTCATCCTCAAGACCTTTCAATTTTATCAATTTTCTACCTGTCAGCCTATCAAGGATATCTCTTTGGTGGCACATAAGAATATTGTCAAAGTTTTCGATTTGTGGAAAACAATCTACTGGTTCCACATGCCCTAAATCATGTCTTTGCGTGTGAGATACACGTGATTTACATATATGGCAGAACCACATTTCAGTTTCAGGCTCTTTTGAGAGACCTATGCATTTAACATGATACCCAGAATCACAGCCATCACACAGAAGCATGGGATTATTTTTCTCAACATCATACCGTCGACATACCTCGCATGCTGTGTCATCTTCCGGCTCAGAGATATCGACAAAGGCTTTGTCTCCAGCTTTATTAATAGAATTTATTTCAATCTGTTGCTTATTTGTACCCTTACCAACAGGTAAATCTTTGAATCCTAGATCCAAATCTTCTCCAATTTTGAAGACAACATTCTTTTTCTTCTGATGATCTTTTCTCTTAGTTGGGGATAATATACTTTTGATGTTTTCCTTAGACGGTTCCAGAAGCTTTGACGAGGAGTTTTGAGGGTGTGTCACCTGAGCTTTGGAGGAATGTAAGCTTGGCGATATAGAAGTTGGCTCAGGATCTAAGCATTGAATTTCAATAATAGGGCTCATCATCCGCTTCAGTCTAGCAGCTGATTTTGTATATTGCCTTTTGCCTATTTTGGAAGTATTTGCGACGATTCCCAGTTCATCTCCTCGTTCTTGTTTGTGACTTTTGTGAGCTTTTTCTAATTTAGGGATTTGTCCAAGATTTAGTGAGGGTATTTCAACTATTGCCACCTTCTTCTCACTAGTGTTAAGATCTGGTAATATCCTTCTATCTTCATTGCGCGTATTTTCATCAACTGAGCCATGCTGAGTTGACTTCAAAAGATTTCTTTTCGGTTCTCTTTTGTTTTTAGCCACCTCCGAAACGCCAAAATTTTTCTTTGAGATTGATTTCCGAGAGTCGTGGATTTCACTAGAAATTGTTTTTGCACCTAAGAGTTTGACAGTATTTCTCTTTCTCCTGAGGGCTTCTCGTGGTTGTTCTACTTCAGAGCTGCTTATATCATATATATCTTTGTCTAAGCTACCCGAAACATTAGCTATGTATCCTAAGTTTTGTAAAACTACTGGCTTATCTTGCTCTGGCGCCATTGTGCTTCCCACTGATGCTTCTAAAGTAGAAAAGCTGTGACCCTCATAGGGTTGCGATCCAGCTAGTTTGTAAGCAGTCTCGTCCAAAGATATTGCTGTTTCTTTATCAAAACCGGAAGGATAGCTATAATCCAATTCATCCTTTTTCACCCTTTCTACTTTAAGGCCACTCGGGAATTCTTCCTCGTCATCTATGTCGGTCGTCTGGTTTCTTTTGCGTTTTCTTGTCGATGACATTTCTATTTGTTGAAAATAATTAATCGCTGACTTATTCTGTCAAAAGAAGTCCTATTCATTTAGTCGTAATTCTATTGCTGTTGACATCGCTTTCCACCTTGCTACAACAATTGGAATAAATAAAAGTCGCGAATAGTAGGGATATTCGATCAGAATCAAGCTATTTCGGGTTTGGAGTTAGTGATCCTAGCATCCGGGTAAAGAATTATCCGGTTGAAAATTGGATAACTATGATGTAGTCTCGTTATCTCACAAATAATAACTAACTCTCTACCGCCAAGTCCCCAATACGTTGGCCGCTCGGGAAACCTACCTGTTCAGATGCTAATACAACCTGCCTGTAGTAATATCAAGCTGCTTAAACGAGAGAGAGAAGAGATTCGCGCCAATAACATGAGATTAGATCTGGCAAGCTAGGTGGAAACTTGAGGAGAAGACCAGTCAAAAAAACGGCAGAAAGAGGCAGGAAAAGTCGCAGCATGCCAAGAATAGGCTTATTCCTGGAAGAATCAAAGGCGGCTCCAATTACCTCAATAATTAGCTATCACCGACCCCGAAACATGGAGAGCAGCCAAATTCTATCAGAACCGAAAGTCGGATCAATGGGAAATGAGTCTACAGGAAATCGCCATTTCTACCCCAACGAATCCTGATAAGGGCACAAAGCAGTCTAGTGATGCAAATACGAAGTGAGCACGAGAGGCTCAATTCTTATTTATATAGAAGGAAAGTACCCGGAGTCTACAGTCCAAGCTGTCCATGTGGTTATCAATTGCAGAACCCTGAGCACATTATTATCTCCTGCCCCCAATGGTCAAATGGAAGAGGAGAAATATGGAGACAAGCCAAAGATCGATCCTACGAAGCTATGCTAAACAATCCTGGAGACATCAAAATGATAACACAATGGATTCTAAATCTTGGTTTGATCGAGCAATTCCAGATGACAAAGACAGCCAAAATGCTGCTGAGGGATAGGAACAGTTCAAGCCATTCTTGAGGTCAATAAAGATGAAGTGATTGGTTAATATGGAATGCACTAAAGTGTAACTGCGCTTCCTGTAGAAAATATGTGGAAACTTAAGACAAAAAGCAGAAAGTTGTGGGGGATTTTCACCATTAATATTTCATCCTGTGTAAATATTACAGATTGTAGACACCTGCATAGGTCCATAGGGCGCCAAGTCAAGATAATGAAATCAAATTTAAACTCTAATATTGGAGATACGAATTCTTCGCCTTCTAGTGGTGATAATGTTGTCGCTCAATATGATTTGCATATCTGGGATAGCTATTAAATTAAATAACTGTTGGTCAAACATAATTATTCTTGCACCTGAAAATAATTTCTATTATTTTTTTATTATATTAATGTCCTAAGCTAAAGCTCTAGGTCCACTATCGGTACAGGACTGGTGGAACCGGCGGGGATCACTGCTTACAGGCCCAACTCAATCCAACCGCGTGACCCGCTACAGAAAAAGTAGCAGGTAAATTATAACTCAGAAAATGTAATCAAAAACTAAAATCAAAACTAAAAGCCAAAGTCTGAAATCAAATTTAGAAGATTTTTTCATGTGGTCCGGATCCCGCGCTTCTCGCCCGTTCCCTTTCCTGTGACATCTTCCAAATGACAAATTTACTCAATCTCCGCTGAGAGCAAGAGATGAGTTAGCAGTCACCTTTTGTCCAGCCGGTATCCTGCTATTGGTTAGTAGATGCCCCAGAAGGGACATCGTCGAGGTCGCTGTTCCTTCAGGCTTCTTCTTCAGCTTCCAGGGCTCCGAAACCTGTAGCCTCGGCAATCGAGACGTCCTTCGCAGCGGCGATGATCGCCTCTTCGGCCTTTTTTGCTGTTGCTCGTGCTCATGCCACCTTTGAGAACTCCCCTTGCTCTATGTGGCGGATCCACGCGAGCTGCTCTTTGGTCACCAGTCCGGATTTTCTGGGTCTGACTTGGCAGGCCCGAGAATCCGATCGGTGGGGTCCCCCACAGTTGCGACACTTAGTGAGGGCCTTGCACTCGGCTTCCGGGTGCATGTTTGATCCACAGTTCCAGCATGCTGGAGCGCAGGAGCAACCACGAGTGGCGTGGGAGCCCAAACAGCGTTTGTACTGTTCAATTTGGCGACGAGGCTGGATCTTTGTAGCCGCTCCGGCCTCGTCGAGAATTCGAAAGCCCGCACGAGGGGCGGAGTCCCGGTTCAAAAGGGCATGCCAGTTTCTGTATGGCGCTCCAGGACAACATGTCCCGTGCGGTCGCACCTGGCATGGACGTCGTTGTGTTTTGCGGTGGATCTCCAGTGAGATCCTACCCACATCTACCGTCTCAATACGGTTGATTAATTTTATGGTCGCTGGAATATTCGAGATCCGAAAGGCGACAAGGTTGGAGGCTTCCTCGATTTTGGCATTGAAGTCCGACAACTTCGGTGTGGCATCCAAGAGCTCTTCCCTTTTATATTCATCCGCTGGCAGAATCGCAAATCCGGTTCTGACACGGTGTATAGAGCTTTTTTCACTCAAGGTGTACAGTAGCCTACTACATAATTGATGCCTTATGCCGTCAGGCGAAAGCTGGCGCCATGGGTGATCGCTCTCTAAGCGAAGGAACAGTCGTTTGTCGACTTTAGCCTTCGGAGCTTCTTTATTTTGGGCTTTTGCCGTAGGTCGCGGCACAGCCTTAACAGTAGGGACTGCTTTTTGTGACAGTCCGTTTCTGGCCACCGTGGCCCAGGTGCTTTCTATAGGCAGCGCTGGGACGGCGGGAATCGTTGTGCTCTTGACGTCGGGAGCTCTTGGGAGAGGGTTCGTCGGGCGAGGAGGGAGGACGGGTGGCGTGGGGGCCGGGCCCGTGGCCATGCATTGCGCAATGGCGGCGCGTAGGTAGACTCTCATCGAGTCTACGAATTGTCTAATTGACGCGTTGGTCAAAGGGAGAAGGGTGGCTTCGACGCCAGAGATGGCGGCGGAGCAGAGGGCCAGGTTTGCCGCTGTTTCGGCGGCGCGTCGTTATTCAGATTCAACAATTAGTCGGAGCTGGAGGGGACACTCTGCTTTCGTGATAGCTTTTGGTTGCCACGTTGATTTTGACGCTGCTTTCGGTGCAGCGCTCTCCGAGGGTATTTGCGTGGTCTGAGGAGAGTTGAACGATTCTCCAATCTCGTGGGGGACGGAGGCTCGTCGAGGAATTTTTCAACAATTTCGACTTACCCGATCAAGTGAATATTGAGCTCAGTGACAACGGTGAGGGGTTTTTCCTTCCCTCTAGTAGAGGTCTTGCTCATCTCCGCGCATTTCGGAGACTGGGCAAGGCCAGGTAATTGTTCGAGAGCCCTCGGGTGGACTCTCGTGTTGTCCAACTTGACGTTGGGACGCTTTTTGCGAACTAGAGGCATGGTGAAAATGCCTGAGCTCGATCATAACTCAGAGATAGATGCGACGATGTCGAGAAGGGAGGAAAGAGGGAGAAAATGAATTTTCGAATTGATAAAAGGTTTGGTTGTTGCACCTGAAAATAATGTAGTTATGATATGATATTATTATTATCGTGATTAGATTAGATTAGATTAGATCTGTAAAAGTGTGGATCCTAAACGTAGCAGGCTACGTTATGTAATATAGACTACTAAATGCGGTTAGCCTATAATTAGTAAGCTACGCACAAAGTGTAGATTTCGGAGTTGGGAGTTAGGAGATGATATAGACAAATTTATTAGAACTCAAGCTTAACTATTGCATTCTGCGGAACTAGCTGTAGTAGAGCCACGAGTTATTTTTGTCACCATCCTGTTTCAATTGTGATCGATCGAAACCCATAAAAGTGCAAGGGAAATAATAATTTTGTAAACCTTAATCCTTGCATGTCCGATGTTAGCCCTAATAAGCGAGCGACGCTAAATGGGTTGATTTATGGGGGAACACTCTATACTTGGAATGAGTGTGCAAGTTTTGTATTAGATTCCTATATACCGAGTTAGGGTAATATAACTTCACCTTTTGAGGAGGGATTTTTATAAGATTTGTATTATATTCCTAACTGAGTCAATGACTATTGAGGACTCCTAGAATCTACAAATAAGATCCTAGCTACATGTTGTAAGTTCCTACTGTTTAACTTTATGCTGTGCTCTTATGGACAGTGAGGGACACGCCCTGTTTTATTATCGTGACCGGGTACTACCCTAGCACCCAGAGGGCATGGCACGGGTAGCCTTGATCTATAGAACTCTTCGCTACCTATATCTTTGTTTCATAGAAACAAGGAACACAAACCAAAAAAAAACAAATTAAAACACCATTTCTAAGGTGCTAATGCCCTGCACTGCACCTTAATTCTCGTAACACGCCAATCGGTCCCAAGAAGCATCACGGTTGATCTTTTAAGACCCTGTTTATGATTCACACTTGCTGAAACATATTGGTACAGTTAGTAATGTAGTTGTGGTTGTGATTATTATTATTATTTTTTTTTTTTTTTGCATCAGATTTTAATTGCGTATGCAGCTATCTAGCTATGACACAATATCAAAGAAAAGTACAGAAAAGATGACTCAATCTACAAGAGGAGCACTCATGCCTCGGATTTCTTTTGCAAGTACCACTGCGAAGTTATGGTGGCTTTTTCTTCACCCCAAGTCAACCCTCATCCGTGAATACCCACTCAGGGGAACATCTCAAAAACCCTGAGTTATCCAGACATGCCTCCGTCATCCATCAACTTTTCTCCGCGCGAAATATGATCTGAGGTGTCTCCTTCCCAAGTGGAGTAGGTGCCCAGGCTACTCAGACTATACCGGAGAACACCGCCAGGAGGCGGACCACAACACCTTCCATCGTTTGCTTGTTTTTATAGTGTCAGCTGCACTCTCGCAAGCGAAGTCTTGGCGCGCACAAAGCTCAATTCGTAAAACTCTTGCCAAAATTCAAAATTCCACGCCCGTCGAAAACGTATCCCTCTTCTGCATCATCTTGTGAACTTATCCTGATCCCTCTCACGT